GGGCTGTCCAGGTCTGGTCACTGCTGGTAACAAGCTAAGAAAAGACCTGGACCGGAACTGCTGGGATGCAGGAAGATTTAGAATAAGGGGATAGACTTAAGGAATCCCTGGGTGAGGAAGGGGGCGCCTGAAGGGTAGACCCTGGGGAGTAAGTTTACAGAGGGGACTTTTTACAAGATTCTAATTATATTTATTTGGAGTTTTCCTCTGGTGGTTTGAAGCTGTTAACAGCAGGAACCTGCATCCTGGGGTTTGTTTTTGTTTCTAAGGAGCTGCTTGGCCCTACTGCAGCGAATCCAAGGGCAGGCAACACCTGCCACTGCTGCACCTCCCACCTCTTCTTTCTTTCAGCGGGAGTCTTCCCCTTCCCTGCTCACCCCTCCGCTCTGTGCTCTTCTGCTGCTGCTCCCGGGCCTGAGCCTCAGCGTGTCTGCATGGTCATACAAGTTTCAGTTCCATCCTGGGATGCTTGCTGGGGCTGGGAGGCAAAACTCTGACCAAGGAGTGGATTCTTCCATCGAGTACTTAAACGACATGGGTCCCCAACCCCTAGGCGGTCAGTGGCCACACAGCAGGAGGTGGTGGCGGGCAAGCTTGTGAGCGAGAGGAGCTTCCTCTGTATTTACAGTCTGTCCATCCTGAGCTGCGCCTTGGTCAGATCAGGGCAGGAGATGCTGGCAGGAGCACAAACCCTCCTGTGAACTGCACACACGAGGGATCTAGGTTGTGTGTTCCTGGTGAGAATCTAATCCCGAAACCATCCTCCCACCTTTGCTACTGGAAACATTTTTCTTCCATGAAACTAGTCCTTGATGCCAAAAAAAGTTGGGGGTCATTACCAGAACCTGGGAGACAGTGGGTAGCAAGAGAGCACCGGACTAGGACCAAAACCCCAGGTCCTCGCCCTACACTACCTATTTGCTCTTTCCCAAGATAGCTTGGCTGGGTTGAGGGCGCCCGAAGCCCTGCGGGATGACACCTGAAGAACCTGCAGGTCTGTGATTCATTGCCCCTGGTCTCCTCCGGCCCCTGCATCCAACAAATGGGTGCCTGGGAGCGGGTACTGTTGTCCTTTGAGTCTCTTGTCTCCTTCCTTTGTCCGTCCTGCAACCCAAACAGTTGTGAGGTCACAGGAGAGTGAAGAAGCCCGCTTTTGCCGAGGAGATGCTACAGATGTGGATCTCGCCCGCCCACTCTCCTGTGTTACAAACACTTACACCACGCCTTCAGTGAATCCTGCCGGACGTGCTGCAGGTGCTCAAATACTGTTGACTGGTGGAAGAGATACGTTCGACTGTATTCCTGCTTTTGTTTTGTTTTGTTTCTTTTTTTGGACACAAGTTCTTGCTATGTAGTTCAGCCTGGGGCTTGCACTCACAAAGTAGTCCAGGCTGGGCTCGAACTCACAGCCTCCCAAGTACTGGGGTTGCTGGCATGCGCCACCACACCCACCTTCAACTCCATTCCCACTGCAGTGTGGATTTCAAAGATTGAGAAGCCATGGCCTCGAGGAGCTTACAGCGCGGAGTTCAGAGTGACAGGAGCATCCCGTACACGACTGGTATACTGGAGGGAAAGTCAGAGGTGGAATAATCATAATGGTAGCAAGCACTTACCGCACGCCCCCGCGGTGTGGGTCTCGGCCCATGGGGTGTAACTCACTTGATTCTCATGGCAACCCGGTGTGTTTGGGGGGGGTGCGTCTGATGATTGTTATTCCCGTGTACAGAGGAGGGAGCAGTGAGTTCAGGAGCTGGCCCAGGACCACACAGAGCTGGACAAGCTGGCAGCGTCACTCCAGAAGCCCTTCTCTTCACCTCTCTGTCCCATTGCTCCCCCCGCAACTCCTCCCAGCCTGAGCAAATAGTTCACCCACATTACCCGAGTTGGGAAGAGAGGAGGAACAGCAGCCCAACCTCTCCTTAGGAGACCCTGTTTGAATGGGTCTAGCAGGAGCCTAGATATTCCCCAGCGATTCCGGGGTGCGTCCAGAGTTAAAGACACTGGGCTAACCCAGTTCTGTGCCCAGCAGTGCAACTGCTTTGCCAGCTGGTGAACACCTGTGCCCCGAGAGGACAGGCTGAGATAAGGTTATGCCCGCGAGTACTGCTCAAAGCCCTGCGAGAACCAATTCTGGGCTGGCAGGTCTGGTGGGAGTGGGCTCTGGAGCAGTGAACCAGCGAAAGGAGGAGGTGCTGGCTATAATTTGTGACCCTGTTTCATAGTTCTGCCTTAGGCCTGTTGTGCTGCAAAAGATAGCAAGTTCCCAGGCAAGGGAAGAAAGCATCACAAGAGACAGCAGAATAACAGAAAAACAGTTGCAAATGGGTGGGAGCCAGCCGCGTCCCCAGGGCCCCCGGCTCCCTGGGAACAGGGCTCACCGGGATAAGCTTTAGGGGGACAACTTGGAGCCAGGTTGAGAAAGCTGAGATCAGCGTGGCAGGAAGAGGAGAGAGGAATAACATCTCCTGCGTGAGGAGAAATAGAACAGTCAGAGGACGTGAGACCAGCACTGGGCCCGGAGATGGGAGAAGGCTGGCTGCGGGAGGGGCTCTGCCAGGGAGCCTGGGTTTGCCGTGATCCGCACCACAGTTCACCCTAGCCCTGGCGAGCTCAGAATGGGAGACACAGGCGTGAACTGGGGGCCAAGAGAGCCTGACTCAGGCCCCGGTGAAGCACAGCCAGCTCCGACCTGGCCCCTGTGTTGCTGGCCCAGGGTAGCCCTTATTCAGAACTCCTGGAGCAATGCTGTCCAGTAGAACTTTGTGTGATGTTTCCTATTTGTGCTGTCCACTGTGCTGGCCGCTGGCCTGTGGCTAGTGCAACTGAGGAGCTGAATTTTAAGTTAATTAAGGACTTGGGACTAGCGGCCACCATAGCGGACAGCCTGGTCCCAGAACATCTGTTACCTGAATCAGTGATTTACTCTCTCGGGGTTCCTGTACTGGGAATTTCCACTATATCAGACGCTTCGCAAAGTACTTTATATAAATCAGTCTTATCAACTGTTCACAACCTGTCACAGGAGGAGGTATCATCATTCCCATTTGAAAAGAGAGGAGATAAGAAATAAGAAAGCCCTCCCTAGAGAGTAAGTAGTGTAGCTGGGAGTTCATCTGGGACTGCCCTGGGACTGCCTGCTTCCAGTGTTTATGCGCTTTCTATGATAGTACCTCGCTGGGTTGTTTTCTCTCCGTCAGTTGGACAGACTGATACTCCACATAGCTTCTTACCATCTGCAAGGCCCCTCCGGCCCTCACTTATGAGCTAGGGCCCACTGTCCTCCATTCTGTCACTCGGGGATGACGGCGCAGGCACGGACAGCAGACTGGAGCCTGACTGAGGAGGAGAGTGAGTGCGGATGGGCTCCCTGCGCTGAGAAGCACTGGGCACGATGGGCGGCCGCAGAGCAGAAGAAGAGGAAGGGCGGAGTGCAGAGATGAGTAGAAGCCCAGAAGATTTCACGCAGGGTCTTTGGAGGCGCTCGTCCAGATTTTAGTTCTTCAGATCTGCCCCCTAAGTACTTCCTTCTTTTTTTCCTGCCCTAAGTACTCCTGATGAATGAAAGCAGGGCCTGGGGATTTAGCTCGGTGGTGCCGCCACCTGCTTGGCAAGCGAGAGGTCCTGAGTTCAATCCCCGGTACCTAAAAGAAAAATTAAAGCGGAGGACAGGTAATCGCTTGAGGCTAGTCAAGCAATCCAATCTGTAAGTTGGAAAGATCACTGTCCCTCCATTCACTGTCTAAAAATATGTCGAGCACCTTAAGGATTTGGATTCAGTAGACCTAGGATGAGACCTGAGAATCTGCATTTAAACAAAACCCAGGCAGTTTTGTTTTGCAACCCACAGATCATAGCTGGAAGTCAGACTGTCTTGGTTTCAAATCCCATCTCGTGGGAGACTGCTACTTAGGCACCATCTTTGGTTTCCTAGGTCACAGGTAGAAATAATCTCTCCCTCCTCGGACCTTCCGTGTAACTCAGGTTCTCCAACCTGGCCTCGCATTCGAGTTACCTGTATCTCCAGCAGAACGCTTGTCGCCGGAACCTGGCGGCCGGGCATCACCTAGGGAAGCTGATGCTGATGTGCGCCAGGGCTGCAGCTCCCCGCCTCATCCGCCGTGCCCCGTGGCGCACACCACATCCCGCTTCACGTCTCGTCTGTCCTTTTAGCTGGGCTGAGCCCCCGGGTGCCTCCACAGCACCCTGTATACGCCAGCTGCAGACACACGCGGCAAAGCGTTTTCAACTAGATGAAGCCGTCTCCCCTTTCACTTCGGCTTTGCGGGCACCGTTCCAACCTGCCAGAGGTTGGAATCTTTTGCCGAAGACTCTTTCCTAGGTCTTCCTCATTTTTGCCAGATCTGGGGTGGCCTCTTCCTTTCATGTAGCTCTCTGTGTGCGGTGCCTGTTGTCAGACCGCACACTTGGGGTCAGAGCACAAGAGTAAGGGCGGCGAGGGCACCTGGAGAGGCGAGAGGGCTGCACTTCCCAGGCGCCCCGTTGCTTGTGCCAAGCTCTGCGGGGTCCAGGTCCTCTGCTGTTGTTCCCGGACTAAATTTCTCTTCTTCTAAAGCTTCTTGCTGCTGTGGCGGGCACGTGGGAGCAGACTGGGTCTAAAGCAGACTCGTGAGGCCGATGAGGATCCCTCAGACGCCCTGTCACCCTTTCTTCACCAGTGACCGCTGGACACTGCCCCCTTCCTAGCGGCTGCTGTCCCTGTGTCTCACCCCCTCCCGCTAAGCCTGCTCCTAAGAAAAGTAAACCAATTCACGCTAGGGTTGATCATTCCTAATCATGTTACATGTCTAAGGGTTTTTTGTCTGTCTTCGGGTGCAAGAGGAGTATTTCAGATGGCTGTCCCTGTGGGTTAGGTGTTTTGAAGGCAGCGGGGCGGTGGGGGATTCTTTCTGAGGTCCTGACGTTACAGAGTCTTCCCTCTCTGAAATCTGAAGGACCTGGGAGAACATGTCCGCAAGGGGTGTCGGCTCTGCCTCCAGAAGAGGGGATTTTGCTCTTGGGAAACCCACCTGCAAGATACTGCTCCAGGGCTACCCCGAGGGTCTCACGTGTCTCCCTCTGCCCCTGCAGACGTGGATGAGTGTGTGGAGGGGACTGACAACTGCCACATCGATGCTATCTGCCAGAACACGCCTCGGTCATACAAGTGCATCTGCAAGTCCGGCTACACAGGGGACGGCAAACACTGCAAAGGTGGGCCGGGAGGGCATGGGGAGAAGCGGGGCATCCGGGAGAGGGGAGCCTGTGTCACTGGCCCCAGCCGGCCGCGCTGCATTACCCGGAGAGCCCCACTGGCCAAGCATGGGCAGCTCCATCTTCCCAGATAGGGCGCCATGTCTGTCTGGCACCAAAACCATATGGACTTGGGGCCAGGGATTTAGCTCAGTGGTGCCACCGCCTGCCTCACAAGCAGGTCCTGAATTCAATCCCCAGTACCAAAAAAAAAAAAAAAAAAA